GGGGGGGGGGGAGTCACAGGGCAGATTGCACGTGTTCCTCACGGCGTGTGTCAGTGTTGTGGCCAAGCGTCTGGAGTTTGCCGACACTGGAACCCCTGCCCCATGTACCGAACTCACGTCTCTGCGCCTCCCTTTTCTCCTGGGAAGGTGGGTTTACCAACAGCACTTACGGCGTAAGGCCGTGGGTTAAAGTGACATATTGTATGTGCCAAAGTGCCCAGCATGGGCCCGGGCGCACAGAGGGCGACCAGTAACCATAGGAAGTATTATTTGCGTGAAGCACTGACTCTCAAGCCCGGCTATATTTTTAATCACTTCGGATGGATGCTCCTTAAAAATGCCGTCACTCAGACCTTACCGGGCCTCCGGAGCAGAACCCCGGGGTTGGTGCCTGGGCGTCCGTGTTTCCTTAGCGTCCATCACTGGTCCGCATTCCCGGCGGTGTGGACAACGACCGGCCTAGGATCCCGTTAGTCAGTACTTCTGAAAGCGCACGAGTTGTGCGCTGGGTCCTGCCCGGCCCCCTTCGTGTAGAGTTGAGCGGGCAGAGGGCTGGGAAGGGGGCTGCCGGGGATGCAGCTGGGTGAGCTGAAGCCGGGAGCTCTTAGCTCCTCCAAGGCAGAGGCCTGAGTGCCGAGCCCAGCGGCGGGGGGGCCCAGACCTTTATTTTATAACTGGAAGCTTGTACCTCTCACTCCCCTGCATCTTTTCCACCCACCCCTCCCCTCTGGCAGCCAGGCTAGTTTGGGTTCTCATTAGGGTAGTTCAGCGGGGGCTCCTCTCGACCTGATCCACTCGATAGCTGCCCCTGCCCCAAGTCCTGACGGAACTGGTTTGGTGGCTGAGTTTACTCCCCGGTGATAAGAGCTTAGGCCCAGAGGGCGTTCGTCAGCCCCAGGAATCTGAGGCCCAGGTGAAGGACCAGGTTGAGCCCCTAACTCAGCGTGACCAATGTGTCCAATGGCTGCACCTGTGTCTCGCACGGCGCCTGAGCCCCCAATCGGCTGTCCTGCTGCAGGTGTCAAAGCAACATGCACACTATAGCCGCGTCCCCAAGTCCCCACGCCGCTTGGGGAGAGGCGATCCTCTGACTTACACACACAGGCCTTTGTCGCTGTCACCTGAGGCAACAGGATCCATGACATAAAAAAAAAAATCAACATTGTGGGTGAAACAGTTTTAGGAAGAGTGAATCCTGTTGTGTTTACCTTTCTCGTTAACCTGGTAGCATGGAATGGATGGTCGCTGACGGAACTTTTTGCGATTTAAACATCTAGTGATTTTCTTTTCTGTTTTTTAATACAGGAAATCAGACGATAGCAATGGTATAGAAAATAATGTCCCCAGGTACAGGAAAACTGTAAGTGACTTCTGAAGGGTGTTCCAAATAAATGGTAAAATCCAATATACACAGGCTGTCTGTGGGTCCAGCTGCTTTTTTTTTTTTAGTTTCATTGAAGACCTAGTCAATCCCTATGTGCTTGTTCATAATATTATGGGAGAAAATATACAGTTATAAAAAATAAACAACATTTTCCCCCCGATCAATCTAAAAGTAAATCTATTGCATTGCCTATAATTTATTTTTTCTTTTATCACCATGGGCTAGTTTCTTTTACAACTTTTCTTGTAGTCTTACTTTTTTCCTGTCTCAATTTTTCTGGATTCTCACATTTTATTCTCGCGTACTCCATATTTTTTGGTTCATATTAGCTTGTTTTCTTCACTGACTAGCATCAACAGTTTCATAGTTTATCAGCATTTCTCCCCCGAGTAGTTAGAATAGGAACTGCTGGCTTTAGCAATAGTGGGGATCCCCCTTCCCAGCAATGTCTGTTTTGCTAAAGTGATGACAAGCCATCGTAGAGTAACCGGGACTAATTCTGTTTTATTTAACTCAGGAGTCGGTTGGCCAGTGAGTGAGGAGCTTCATGCCGAGAGCCATGCGAAGACATGCAGAGTTTCTATTTCTGCTTTGTTTGTGCTTCCTGCTAAGAACATCTGAGTTTTTATTTTTAAAAGAATAAAAAGTTTACCAACGTGTTCAGCAGTGGCTCCGTAAATAAGAGGCTATCTTAGATCTAATGATATTTTCATTCTGTGATTATTTTACATCAAAGCAAAGTAAACTGTGTTAAAGATATTCTATGAGCTATAACCCCGGATAATTAATTTCGTCCTGGTCCCCAAGGGACACACAGAACAGACACCAGCAAAAAACAGTTAATTGGTCACAGAACTCATGTCACCCAAGACCTGTTGATGACCAAAGAATTCATTAACAAGGAGGCCTTTGCCATTTGTCTTGAAAACTGCTTTCCCCCAATCGTGCTTACTATGTATAAAACTATTTGTAATAATATTTATGTAAAGTTCATCCTTCTGTCATATTGGAAAAAAAAAGTGTGTCTTTGCTAGGAAATGAACACTCTGTGCCTTTGCTACGGATGATCACTCGCCAAAATTACCACAAGAAAAATAGTTTTCCTCCAAAAATATTGGTTTAAGGGAAGGAAATAAAACCATGTACTTGCCCCAAAGCTCCATCAACACAAAAGCACATTTCCCTGGTGTCTTTGACTTGATATCTGGTTTCCTGGTGTCCATCGCTGGCTAAATACCTAAAATTACAACCCTAATTCTTTAGTCTGAGACTTGGGACTACTATGGTATTTCTGTGATGATGCAAACGCCTCAGACTTTTCTTCAAAAATAGGCTCCTTAGTTTCTATCACGTAGGTAACTGAACTATTATAACATCACTCTGACCAAATCAAGAGCAATCTCAATGGACATGAAGATGTGTCAATGGCTTTGAATAGAATATTAAAATTATTATGCAGAATCCTGGACTGGGATGGAGACAATGATAGGAAACTTCCTCGGGAGTGGGACCGATGTCCCACTGCTCACCATGATCGGGACAATCAGAGGCAAAGAGGGGAGTTTGGGTGGTGGAAAGGAACCCACAATTCTCGATGACTAGGGGATTGGAATTTGGAGGAGCTCAACGAGCTTAAGAAAACTTTATAGAAATTTATGTTATGTGCTGGCTGAGAAAAATATAAAATAGTGGCAGCGAAATCTATAATTTATGCGGCACCCTAACTATTGTTAAAATATTACTAGAATGACTAATACACGTAGAGCAGTGACTCGGAACTTTGTTATTTGTTGGAGTGTTTTGTGTAAAGCATGTCAGCTCTACATACAAGTTTTGTTGAACTAGACTCTGTCCCTTAAGTAATGTCAGGTTTCATTTGAGTCTTGAGTCCTAAGACACGCACTTGCTTTGGTTTCATTCTTTATTAATTGGATAACATCTTGGGGGATATCGATACGATGACAGAGAGCCAACCAGCTCACTTCATTAATCTACACGGTTTGAATTCAGTGAGCAATTAGACCCGTTATTTGACTGAGTCCCATTCAGGGTGTTTGAACAAACCAAACACAATCTGTAGCTCAGACTCAGCCTGCGTCCGTCCTTAGCATTTCGTGACTGCTACTTAGGCTGAAATACTTTCCAAGCAAGGAAAGTGGCTGCCCCCAAGGTCAGATGACCTGAAATATTTATATAGAAAATTGAATTTTTAAGTGGCCGTGCTTGCTACTTGTCCTACCAATGACAATTTATTTCAGTAACTTTCAGCAGAAAAGGCGACTGAGAAAATTAAAATTGAATTCTGGCTTTTCAGAGTCTCTCTGGGAGGACTCCCAGAAAACTGCTTCACCCGATGTTAGATTAAAAATGAAATGCTCCCATTAACTACCCTCGTGGAGATGATGAATGGATTGACTCACAGGACCAACTGTGAACCCACTGAAAATACCAAGTGAGCAGAAAAGCTGGACTAGGAAAAGCCCTGCACGTTTGTGTATTAGATGGGAGCGTCTATTAATCTTGCCAGCTAACAGGGGCTTGCAGCATATTAAGCAGGTTTAACGTCTTAAAGTCTTAAAGCAGCGTCCACCAGGCCGCTGCAGGCTCCCCTCTGCCATTGCCTAATGCGGCCGTTTTCCAAATTCCTAGCCTCTCTCCAACGTCCAGGCTCAGCTTTGATAGGTAAAGAGTCAGATGAAGCGCCTTCTGCAGACAGACACAGGAGAAGGTGAAGAAAGCACATGATGTATTAACTAGGGTCGGTACACGCTCCGAAGAATCACAAAGCAGGCGGGGACCAAGGCGTGCTCTTCATGGGACAGTGGCCAGAGGCCCAAGCAGAGGCCAGACCAAGGGGATGTGTGTCTGGGGAAGGAGCCCACAGACCCCACGGGAAGGACGTATCCAAAGGGCAGCAAGAAGCCCAGCAGCTGAACGAAGGCGAGGGAGGAAATACGGGGCCAAATTAACCGAGGAGCCTGCGGGCCCCGAAAGGGACCTTAATTTTGTTCTCAGGCACGTGGAAAGCCAGAATCAGGAACGGCTGCCAGGGGTGAGAAATGTATATTTGGAACAGCTGGACAAAGACAGAGGAGGACTCTCCTCCCTCTAAAGGCGCCACGAGGCGGCGTCCTGCGCAGCCCGGCAGCCGTCGGGGCGCGGCTCCCTCCGCCTCCCTCCGGGCGCCCCGAGCGGGCTCAGCCTCGGGGCGGAAACGGACTCGGCGCTTCGAGATCGGAACGAGCCAGGGAGCAAAGCCAACGTTTCTCCCACGAAGCCGCATCCCAGGCAGTATCCCAGGCACGGACCCCAACAGGACCGTCTCGGGGCGCACCCAGCTCCAGGGGAGCGTGGGAAACGCGCCTTCCGTCCCCGCGCTGGGAGCCCGGGGTGTCCTCGCAGGAGGCCGGGCGGCGGGAGGCGCAGCTCCGAGCTGAGGCCCCGGGGCGGTG